ATTTGCCAGTAGTTTATGCTCCTTTTACTTTGTTGTTTAGTCACGGTGGAACTTTTTAGGTTCTCTTACTATGTTTTTAATTTGGGGTATACATTTAAGTTGAGCCTTTATTATGGTGTCTTTAAAAAATTTCCATTCAGGTTTCAGGGATTTTAATTTTGGCGCCATACCTTTTAATTTCTGTTTAATTAACTTCCTCATTTTTGTGTAGTCCCTCTTTCTGAAATTAAATGCTACAGTGTTGGGCTGCTGTGGAGTTTTCCCTGCCACAGGGATGTTAAATTTAATTATATGATGGTCACTATTACCAAGCGGTCCAGCTCTATTCACCTCTTGAACTAGATCCTGTGCTCCACTTAGGACTAAGAATTGCCTCTCCTCTTGTGGGTTCCAGGACTAGCTGCTCCAAGAAGCAGTCATTTAAGGTGTCAAGAAACTTTCTCTCTGCATCCCGTCCTGAGGGGACATGTACCCAGTCAATACGGGGATAGCTGAAATCCCCCATTAGTATTGAGTTTATTTTAATAGCCTCTCTAATCTCCCCAAGCATTTCCCAGTAACTATCACCATCCTGGTTAGGTGGTCGGTAATATATCCCTAATGCTATATTCTTATTACTAGAGCGTGGAATTACTATCCATAGAGATTCTGTGGTACAGTTTGGTTCATTTAAGATTTTTACTTCATTTGATTCTACCCTTTCTTTCACATATAGTGCCACTCCCCCACTAGCACGACTTGTTCTGTCCTTACGATATATTTTGTTCCCTGGTATTACTGTATCCCACTGATTATCCTCATTCCAACATGTTTCTGTGATGCTTGTTATATCAATATCCTCATTTAATACAAGGCACTCTAGTTCACCCATCTTATGATTTAAACTTCTAGCCTTTATATATAAGCACTTTAAAAACTTGTCACTTTTTAGCTGTCTGCTATTACATGATGTAATTGAATGGGGCTTTTTTTCATTTGACTGTTTCTCATCAGATCCTACCTGTATTTTATCATCTTCCATCCTCTCCTCCTTACTAGGACACAGAGAATCTCCATTAATAGATCCTCCTCTAAGGGATGTCTTTGTCTACACCACGTGCTCCTCCGCACCTGTCGCCTTTCCCCCAGCCCTTAGTTTAAAACCTGTTCTACGACCTTTTTAATTTCTAGTGCCAGCAATCTGCTTCCATTTTGGTTTAGGAGGAGCCCATCCTTCCTGTATAGGCTCCCCCTTTCCCAAAAGTTTCCTCAGTTCCTAATAAATCTAAACCCCTCCTCCCTACACCATCGTCTCATCCACATGTTAAGACCCTGAAGTTCCGCCTGTCTAACTGGCCCTGCGCGTGAAGCTGGAAGCATTTCAGAGAATGCTACCGTGGAGGTCCTGGATTTCAATCTCAAGGGCATTCAGGAATCGGATGCTATTTTAAGGGATCTTTATCATTTTGTTTCCTTTATTTACTGCAGATTTCTAGACTTGGATCCTTTATCTTCAGGAGCAGCATTTATGCCTGGCTAGACAGGACATCTAGACTCTGCTCCTACACATCTCGATACCTCAATGGGCACTGTGAATTACACCTTGTATTTCCCCAGCATGTTGAGTAGATCATGAACAATGTTCTTTGCACAGAATCTCAATATGCAGCAATTTCATTTTAAAATGTTTTTATTCTAAGAAGTGCCTCAGCCTTTCTGCCAACCATCCCTCTCAAATAACTGTCTCAAGTTCTTGTCTGGGTGGTCAATATGTGATTCTCACCACAGCTGGTTAGATTTTGCTTTGGAATGGGTTGTACTTGAGTCATATTTACTTCACATTCTTCTTCTTGCAAGTCTTCCACTATTCACAGGCCCTCTTGAAAGCATGTTTGCTGTAAGAAGCTTCTACTAAGACATGTCTCACATGTGATGACAGGTTTCAGAGTAGCAGCCGTGTTAGTCTGTATCCGCAAAAAGAACAGGAGTACTTGTGGCACCTTAGAGACTAACAAATATATTAGAGCATAAGCTTTCGTGGACTACATAGCTATATGCATCAGAAGAAGTGGGCTGTAGTCCACGAAAGCTTATGCTCTAATATATTTGTTAGTCTCTACGGTGCCACAAGTACTCCTGTTCTTTTCACATGTGATGGTTACTCTTGTAATTTCATGATCCTTTTCTGAATTCTAGGTGATGCTTTGCACAATGTTTTTTGTTTTGTGTCTTCCAACACTTTATGGTCTGTTTCTAAATTGACCAATTTCTGTCCATCAATATATTAATTAAATAGCGCACATAAGAACATAATAGCAGCCATACTGGGTCAGACTAAAGGTCCATTTAGCCCAGGATCCTGTCTTTCGACAGTGGGCAATGCCAGGTGCCCCAGAGGGAACGAACAGAACAGGTGATCATCAAGTGATCCATCCCCTGTCGCCCATTCCCAGCTTCTGGCAAACAGAGGCTGGGGACACCATCCCTGCCGTCCTGGCTAATAGCCATTGATAGACCCGTCCTCCATGAACTTACCTAGTTCTTTTTTGAACCCTATTATAGTCTTGGCCTTCACAACATCCTCTGGCAAGGAGTTCCACAAGATGACTCTGCGTTTGTTTGTTTTAAACCTGCTGCCTATTAATTTCAGTTGGTGACTCCTAGTTCTTGTCTTATGAGAAGGAGTAAGTAACACTTCCTTATTTACTTTCTCTATACCCCAGTCATAATTTTATAAATCTCTGTCGTATCCTCCCCCAGTCTTATTAATCTCTCCTCATATGGAAGCCGTTCCATACCCCTAATCATTTTTGTTGCTCTTTTCTGTATCTTTTCCATTTCCAATACAGTATATCTTTTTTGAGATGGGGCGACTACATCTGCACATAGTATTCAAGATGTGGGTGTACCATGGATTTATATAGGGCCAATATGATATTTTCAGTCTTATTAACTATCCTTTTCTGAATGATTCCCAACATTCCACCCGCTTCTCTGAATGCCGCTGCACACAACCAAACAACTGCCAGTGTTTCTTTTTCAGTTTGAGCATAGTTCTGCTAAGTTGTGCTTTCACCCTTGCTTTGGGGGAATCATCTTGCAGGAGGTGAGCCCCAAAACCACGAGCTTGCATCACCCGAGACCTCAGCCCTTTGTTAATCTGAGAGTATTTCAGAATAGGTGCTTCTGACAGTTACGTATTTCAACTGCAAAAGCTTTTCTCTCGACACTCATGGCCACGTCTCTAGGTGGAGCTCTGTGCAGAGCATTGAACTGTGACAAATTTGGGATGAATTTGCTCAGAAAAATTAACACTCCTACCACGGCTGTGGGGCAATTATGTACATGCAAACTGTATGTGTCCAAGTGTCACCCCCTCCCTGGCCCTTCATCCATGGCTCCTCATGGTGGTGTGTGAGGTCTCTGGCGGCAGGACTCTGGCTCTATGCTTGTACAGTGCTCAGCACAAAGATGTCCTGATGCCAAGCGGAGCCCCTGGGTGCTCCAGTAAGTAACTATTCTGCTCTCAGTGACCGGGCCACCCCGGGGGAACCAGCCCTTCAGGTTTAAAAGCCAGTTTAGCTCCATTCTTCCTCTGTAACCTCGTGAGTCATTTCAATCACTCCAGACTGGGGGGGAGGCCTCATCCCACCCACAGTCAGATCCTTTGCCTAGTTTATTCCCCTTGGCCAAACTGACCTGACCCTACAGGCCTGGTTACTGACTAAGTCCCAGTTCGGTGGTGCCTGAGCAGAGAGGCCCGTGGGGTGGGGAAGGCTGTAAAGTGACAAGGCCACAGCATCCCCTCCTGCCCCCTTCTCCTCCCAGGACCCCGCCCTGGGCTCCTCTCTGCCCGGCCAGGCTCGGACCCACCTCCACTCGGGGCCGGGGGGGATGCCAGGGCAGCTGGTACCTGCTGGCGGAGGTGGAGGAGGCGGAGAGAGGGTTGGTGAAGACGATCCCACACTCCAGCATCTCTCCGGCCAGGAAGACGGGCCCACGGCTCAGCTGGGCCAGAACCTCGATCATGGCTCCGGCCTGCACCTGCAACGCGCCACAGACCCGGGCTGAACGGACACATTGGGGGGGGGGGGGAGACCCAACCCCCCCACACACACACTGTGCCCC